GGAATAGTGATCTTGTCGACAGCATCTTCCTCCCTTTTCAGGGATCATAAATTGAATTTATACCCAAGGAGGCCTCCTGACAAAATTGTCTGACTTTACATGAAGAATGTAGTTTTTACAGGTAAGAGTGCCTACAATATGCTAGCGAAGCAGAATAGTGGATGGGCGACGCACATCCCTCCTAAAATCAGACACTTCCTGTGGAGGGCTTTGAGAAATAGCTCTTCTATTCGATCAAATCTTCTTACAAGAGAGGCAGCTGTAGGTATAACTTGTAGTCTCTGTGATATGGGCATGGAGGACATTGACCACATGCTAAATCCTTGTGGTTCGCTAGTCCTTTGCGTATCAAACTGGATAATGGTTCATGAGTTCTTGAGTAAGATCCGTCAGTTGGGGAAATTGCAGCAGTGGTCGCATGGACACTTTAGAAATCTCGTTATAAGCAGTGCTTCGAGCATCAATAGATCCTCCAGCCTATTAATATACTATCAATATTAAATGCCACGAGCAAGTGAGGTTCTAGTTTAGTGGTGGGAGGGGCTTGTTCCCTTTCTCTGCACCTGGATTCGAACCTCACCATGCATGCTTGTTACCCTCGCGGTGTCTTACCTACTCACTGGGCTTGCAGGATGTTCAGTGGGTCGTGGGGATTAGTCGTGGTGCGCGTAAGCTGGCCCGGACACTCCACGTAAATAAATAAATAAATAAAAATATTAAATGCCACGAACCCATTTGTTTTTGTGTTTCAACAGCCAGTTGTCTTGTGCTTTGCTCTAGAACATAGCATTTTTTTTTCAACAACAAAAAAATAAAATAAAATATAGACATGATCTAAAAAACATACAAAAATATTTTGTGACAAGCAAAATTAATGTATTTCTTTTATTTTGAGACTTTGTTATATGGAATTAATATTTATTATGGTATGTTTGGAAGTATGGTTGTGATTATTTTTTAAAGTGTTTTTTACTTAAAAATATATCAAAATAATATTTTTTATTTAAAAAAATTATTTTTAAAATCAGCATATTAAAATGATCTAAAAATATCTAAAAATATTAATTTAAAATAAAAAAATTATTTTTTAAAAAATTATTTTTAAAATAAACAAATAAGACTAATAGTAAAATTTATGAAGAAGTCTTGCTAATTTGGTTGGTCAATTGTCTTTTTCCTCACGCTTTTCCAGTATATTTGGGCCCATTAAAGTTCAGAATTTAGAAAATCCATTAAAAAGCTATTTGAATGCTTGGTTACTTACAAATAGAGCCAATATTTCTTGCGCCCCTTATGAGTCCATGGCCATAGAGTATATTTGGCCCCGCGCTACTCCGTTCATCTATATTTTTTGTTTTTAAAAAAATGCTATTTAGATAATGCGAGTACTTTAAAGAGGGAGAAAAAACTAATGGGTTATAGTTTTGATCTAGTAAGTTAATTTTATTTTAGTTAGATAATAAAAAAATAATAATAAATTGATAAAATTTTATAAAAACAACTATAATAACTTGAAAAGAAAACTTTTAAAAATATAAAATTAAATAAATTATAAAAAATAATTCAACTCAACTCAAAATAATATAATGAATATATAATCCAAATAAAAAAAAACAAGCTAATTGAGATTAACATAAATAACTCATAGCTTATGTCATAATATCAGAATAACTTATAAAAAAGAAATTAAAGAAAACTACAAAAATATTTTTTGATAAAAATAATGTTGAAAGATAAAAAAATTAAAAAAAATGATATCATGTTAACTTTTTAAACTTGTAAATCGAGTTATTAGACTGGGAATGCCATATATGAAAAAACCATAAAACGTAATTTTTAACAAATTAAAAGTTAAATAATAAAATTTTTTTAAAAATCAATTATAGAAAATAACAAAAAATAATAATTAGAAGAATAAGGATAAAAAATAGATCAAAGGCAAAAAAAATAAAATGATTGAAGGGTGAAATTGAAAAAAGAAAAACTTTTAAAATGAAAAAAAAAAAAAAAAATAAGAATCAAATTAAAAAAATAAAACATCACAAACTTGGTTTGAGTGATGAGATTGAAAACAAATAAAAATTACACGAAGTGATCAAGAAAAAAAATTATAAATTAAAAAATAAAGACTAAAATAATAAAAAAAACACATTATAAATTTAAATTTAATGATGAAATTAAAAAAAAAATCTAAACTTTACAGAAAAAGTTAAGAATAAAATTTCTTTTTAAAAAATAGAGATCTAACCAAGAGACAAAACAAATTAAAAGGCTGAAAAATTTAAATTGTAGACATGAAAACCAAGAAATAAAGAGAGAAGAAGAAAAAAAGACTTACAACGCCAAATCATTGGTTCGTTTAGAACACATGTTATCCAGATATGAAATGAAAATAAAAAAAATTCAAACATTGCCAAAAAAATCACTATTTGATAGCTAAACACTGTCGTTTGCACCGTCCAAAAGCCACATCAACCTTTTCAATTACATGTGTCACCTTTTTTTTAAAAAAAATATTTTTTAAATATTAAAGTAGAAATTTGCGTTAAAGTAATGAAAATGACTATTGACTGAGTTTTTTTTTTATTATTATTTTTTTACCTCAACGTCATTCCAATAATTTAACCAAAATTTTATACCGCGAGAGGTAAGATCATAATTTCACTGATTCACAGTGAATCTAAGTCAATAGCTACTGTACAAAAAAATAATATTATTTTGACTCCTTTCCTTTTTAGTTAATTTGTTATGTTATTTCATATGAAATATCAAAAATTTCATTTAAAATTATGATATCATTTGAAGATTTTTTTAAAAAATCATGATAAAATTTGACTAGTTTAAGTTCTGAAGTTATAATTTTAAAATTCAAGTTAGATAAAATTTTAAACCAGGAGTTAAAAAAGTTAATTTAAATTGATATATTTTTTTAAATGATTAAAATAAAATTATTTTCACTATGTTTTTAAAAAATAATTAATGATTTCTGAGTAGTTTTTGCTTCATAAATTGAGTTGTGATTCAACTTAAATTTTTAATTAAATCAAATTAAATTAACTATTTTTTTATATTTTTTTAACTTAAATTAATTTAGACTTAAATAACATGGTGATATATCTGAGTTGTATAGCACGGCCATGAATTAGTAGGTTTTCAAATAGAATCATAAAGTTATGTATCACTTGGATTTCTTTAAAAAAATTAATATAAAATTAAGTAATATTGTAAAATACGGAGAAAGTAATGTAGATTTTCTTATATTTTTTTCTTTGTTTTTCCTTTTTTGCTTTGTTTTTTTTTTGTTTTTTTCCTTCAAAATTGTT